AAGATCTTTCAGACACCACCTTTTTCTAGGTGATGGCAATCTATATATGCATAGTCATTTGTATTATAATTTCTAAAACTGGGGGGAAAAAAAAAGCAGAATATCTCAATCTTTGAGGAGCAATTACTCAAGCCCTTTGAAAAACAACTTGGGAAATGCTCAAAATTAGAATGAGTAGAAATAGCCTAAGCTCTAAGAAGTTTATCTTCGTCTCATCCACACATTCCCTCTCATGTTTAAATCCCTAAAAAGGCAGACACACAAAATGGATTGCCAAGGTTTCCACAGAGCCACAGTTTAATTCATCTCTCTCCAGCAGACATTTCACACCAGTGGCATTTTGTTACTGATCCTTGGGAAACTGTAGCAGCTATTGCAGCGTGTTATTAACCTGGACACTGCTGGAAGGCTGGATGTTCACAATACCCTTACATCTCCACGGTCACACGGGAGAGCTGTGCTCTGAGAAAAAAAATAAAGGCCACTTGCAAGAGTATTACTTTCTATGACCGAATAAACTGTAATAAAACTACAACAGCAAGTCTGTTTCATAAATGAAAGTCTGTAAGCCCCAAGCTTACACAACATTAGATGTGTGCTACACCGTGCACCTTGCTTAGTGATAACGACTCGGTATCAGTTTTTTCTGCTTCCTTGGTAGTCTCGTAGTTCTTACGTCCTTCCTTTGAAAGTCACAGGAATACATCATAATCCAAGCTTTGATTTTTAGAGGATGAAGTTTATAAGGCTGCAATCCAAAGACTCCACTCTGAAGAACTGCGAGGAAAAAATATCTAATCCCTCCCTTTGATTTTCAAAGCCCCATTGTTAAAATTTGGCCCTATTTAAACTTAAAAGTATTCTCCATGTGCAGGAAGGTGTAACCTGAAGCCACAGGAGTTCTGTGTCTGGCGCTTTCATGTACAGCTTTCCATATCACCTCTGCTGGCCAAAGTCAGCACTTAGAGCAGTCTGTCACATCTACCCACTAACAGGGATTTTGGTTAACTCTCTGGAAGTCCACACTGTCTCCATTAACAGTAACGTCTTTTCAGTCTTGCCATTTAGGCACAAGCACAGGTCTCTGCCAGTAACCTGGCTATCCTCACCTTCTTCTGCGTTTTGCCCTAACGCTGCCACCGCACCCTTTGCTGCTCCCAAGCTGCACAGATGTTTCACGCCTTCAGAATGAAGTGCTTTGGTCATAGCGGCTTTTGGCCCAAAGGACATGATTATCCACACCAGCAGTTCCCAAACTATGGTTTGTAAAGCCACAGCAACAGCTCCTTAGCACCAGGCTGCTTTAAAGTTTAAACTGTAAACTTGAGAGAAATTGAGGATTAAGGTAGTTGCCTGCAGTCCAAAACGTTTGGGAATGAAAGAGCTTAAAAAAATGAGCTCAAAAAATGAGCTCATCATTCTTTTACATCAATCTCTCCACCCTTCTGCTGGACCACCACAGCTGCAAAGTGAAGTTACAGTCCGCTACGATCCCTTCATTTTCCCAAGAGATGGGATACCACTCACCCGTAAAACACCATCAGCAGAGCAACTAGATACCCAAAGTTGACAGCAGCAGCTACCAATTGGTCCTGTCCCCACCGCAGAGCTGTGCCAGACATTCTCGTGTCGTGCTGTGAACATGTCCAGGGCAAGCTGGGCAATGTCACCCAACACCCTCACCTCTTCATTTAGTCAGATGTTTTTGTTCAGGCTGCCGAAAATATTATGCCTCAACTCCAGGGTTAAAAATAAACTTTTTCATCATTGACTCCTAGTTGACTAGAGAAAAACCACTCCAGGAAAGCCAACACAGTCCCTGTGCTACCTTCGTGCCAGCCCTTCGCTGCTGGTATCACCAGCTCTGTCAGTAGCCAGGTGCACCTCCACTTGACCGCCATCCTTTCTGCAGGCAGCCCACTGCCCATGCTTGCCTATAAAGCTCTTTGACCAGTTGTTCCCAGTGTTTGCAATTTTCATATCCCTCCTGCTCTTTCTTGGCCTCAAAAGGTAACCTGCCTTTAGTGGACAAATGTTTAGTGAGAAGTTTAAGGTTCTCAGCAGACAGCCAGCAGGCTCGTTGCATGGTCAGGGCTGTGCAACAACTTATATTTTCACTCAATTTTCCAAAAGAAGTCTTTATTCTTTAAAAAGGGGAACAATTTTTTTTGGCAAGCTTGTATGAAAGTCTTCCTTCCAACAGGGCTAGGAAAAACACAAATAAGTCAGCTTACTTTTCCCACATATGTTTTTAGCAGCTCTCTCACTAAAATAGTTTGGCGTAGGTCTTGGTCCAATGCTGTGATTTCTTGAGTATTGTAGCATTTCAGTGAATGCTGACTTTGGGTGAGTAATGCTGTCTTGCTCAAAATTGCCCCATCTTCTGCTAATCTTTTGTTGAGTTTGCTAAGGTTGCAGCAAGACCAGGCCACTGGAAACACATCCCAACAAGTCCCCCCTCTTTAAAGAAGGAAGGGGAAGAAGGACAAATTTGCAAAATCACCCTCTCATTCGTTACTTTGGAACATGCTGTACATAAGCCAAAAACCTCTTTTCATCTTTTGCCTTGAAAGAGCTTGCAGTTAAGAAAGCGTTTCCCCCTGATGGATCTCAAAGCTTAGAAAGGAGATTTCAGTAGTATCTTCCCTCTTTCAGGAATTGCAAGGCTGACATCTAAAAAAAGCTGCAGTGCACAATTAGCCAAGCACTCTGTTATCAGGATATGCCAAAATTCAGGCTTTGCACTTGACCTTCACTCCGCATTCCGCACCTCTGGGAACCAGCATTACGATGCTATTTACATAATCACGGTATTTCCCTAATAAAACTGTACGCTTTTCCCCATGCGCCATCAAGTTGTGTCTATATTAAATAGGGAAGTAAAGGTCATGTCAAGGACATCCCTAGATTTGCCAGTAATAAAGCGGGGGGGGGGGGGAATCTGAATTTTGGAGGGTGGAGAGGATTAATTCTCACTATCTCATTTTTCTTTAAAAAACAAAACCCACAGTGAAAACAAACAAAACAAGTAAACCTTTAAATGATAGCTGGTAATTGGAAGAAAACCACTGATTTATCTAATTTCTGGTGGCACTGAAAATGGAGTCAAAATTATTTAGTGGATATTTTGTATCTGTCCCAAGGACTATTAGAAAAGTCATGCATATGCAGGTTGCTCACCATCTGCACAAAATATTACTAAAATGTAATCTGACAAGCAGATTTTTCCTAATGCTACTAGCTTACAGTGAAAAAAAAAAAAAAAAAAAAAAAACACCTCAGTTTTCAGTGAGTCCATAGGCAGGGTTCAGGGTGGGAATGACAACCAGGGATGGGGAGACATTTCAGTGGCATTGCTGCTTAATGTTGAACCCTGGTGTCAAGTGGAAAAGGCAGGACGATTCAAACTGAGGAAGAAAGGGGTAAGCACACACACACACAGAGAAGCAGAAGGGAGGGGAAAAGCAACCTAATCAAAACTAACAGCAGGATTTCTGCTCACACTTCAAACTGAGAGCAGCTGAAGCCCTTCATTTTCAGTTCTTGAAAGCAAACCCCTGGAGTCCATGTGGAGAAGTATTCCGCAAAGAACTGGGAATCCTTTGAATTTGCAGAAGAACTATCCTCCTTCCACCTCCCTGAACATTTTTCCCCATTCTCAGTCATTTATTCATTAGTGTTACTATTACACCCTTACTGACCTTTTCTTTTATATGACAAACCCAAGCATTCACTTTTGGAGCCTGAAGGTTCATTACCTGTACTCATTTTAGATGACTTCCCATCCTCTCTCTCCTCTTCATTTCAAGCTGCCTATTGCTTGAACCACTTCTCTTGGGAAGTCTAGGTATTCGGCATCTTTTCTTCTTTTTGTTAAAAGGCGTGCGTACCTCCTGGCTTTATGTTGTTCATTCTAGTCTGATGACCCCCCATCCCCACCCCAGCTTTTTCCCTGAGGCACATTTTACTAATTTAGGGTCAGCATCACAGAAGCCATTTGGGAACCCAGATAATACAGACAGGCATCCAGTGACTTAAGAGAAACCTCCAAAAAGTCTAG